CCCCAGCCTCATCCGTCCCTTGTGAAAGACTATTTTCAAAAGCAGGAGAAATCCTATCGAAGAAAAGAAACCGTTTAAAGCCAAACACTTTGGAAATGCTTGTTTTCCTCAATAAAAATGAATGAAAGGTGTATCTTGCTCCTTGTTTATGTCAATGTCTAAAATAAAGCAATCATTCTTTCAAGTAACACACGCACATTCATTCACATCACAACTCCCTGCCCTTTTGACTCCATCAAATCCATGGTATTTTAATCACTGTGTCATGACATTTATTTTCCACATGATGGCGCAATAGAACAAATGGAGCCTCATGATGCATCGGCCCAAGACCGACCCAGTTGGATGGAAAGCCTCATTGCTTCATGAGGCTTCAGATTCCCATCACTACTAAATATGAGAAAAATTTTCTTTCAGCGTGAGCCGCTTCTGTACACAGAAACATGCACTTGTAATGAGAACAAATGGAACTGCAAACGCGATTTTAAAATATGACTTCAAATCGCAAACAGCTTTTGAGCAAGCTCATACAAAATGTCCTCCAAATGCGAAAATGCGCCCGATGTACATACAAAAAATGAATGTATGTACCCTCTGAATGTGCTGGATTTGTTTGTCCATCCGTCCGTATGCAGGCTGCCCACTGATTCCTCTCTTGGCATTCACCGCGTGCCTTAATCGTTCTCGTGTGCAATCAAGGTCCACTGTGAACACAAGGAGCGGCATCTTTTACAGCGTCCGTTAGCATGGCAAGCACGCCGGAACACATGAGGAACGTTTTCAGACGCACATCGCCCGAGCCGTCTGCGATATCCTCTGCGTTTTATTTGGACAAAGCGGCGAGCTAGCAGGCAGGCGAATTCTTTTTGCCTCCTCACGCATTCGGGCTCCATTTTCTGGAATGCAAGTAATTAAAGGCCCCTTCCCCTCGACCCCCACTGACTGCATGACGCGCATTGTCCCACGGCTGGCACTCGGTGGCTCGCCGCCGCGTTCGGACGTGAGTGACCCGGCCGTTTCTGCGCTTCCCCTGGCTGCGTGGTGCGCTGACCGAGGTGCTGAAGAAGTCGACGACGTGGTGGAAAGAATAAAGAAAACTTAACAGACTTAGCGGAGAGCGCTGAAGCGTACGTCAACGTCGCCGCCACGTTGGATGTGTCAATGTGGCTTCAGTCGCATTCATTTGCTGCTAATATGTGATGCACGCTCATTCCAGAAGTGGACATTTTCTGCCCCCCTCACCCCAATATGTTTCTGCGGGCGCATGAAATGCATGTGGGTGGGCGAGGTCAATTATTGTCAATACCCTACAGACAGTACTTACTTTGCTCCATATAGTTGATGCTACTGTTCTCCATTCACGCAGCAATGCCGCTCCCAGTCAAGTCTTGAATGGCTTTTGCGACAACCGCTGCCACGTATTACCATAGACAACATATATGGTGCATGCACGGACTTTTCGCATCGGACGCACAACCCGTTTCAACAGGTGCCTCAAAAGAGATTCTGGTCTTTTCATAAATACATTAGCTAAACCCCAGTGGAGCGAAAAAAGACGTTGTGTACAGCTATTGTTTGTAGAAAATATATGTATTTTTACAGAAAAAGAAAATAAGAGAAACATACAGATTACAGAAAGAGAGCGTGTCCGTCCGACCTTGAGCGTCGTGTCGTCTCAACTCTTACTACTAGCTTCGCTGTTGTCTTGGCTAGGCTATTTTAGCTGTTGTAGTAGATCAAAGCTCTTTGATGTGTAACGTCTGTTGCGTCAGCACTGATTGGTTGAAGCCAAAAGACAAGCGTGCGTGCACGTCCGCGCTGACGCACGTACAGCGGAGAGCGGCGGACTATCGAGTGCTGAGTCGCGCTTCACTCGAGTGGCGTCGCTACACCTCCAACAGAAAAAAATGAAAAAAAGGAAAAGAAAATCGATGTTGAATCAAATGTCTCAAAAGTTGATGACTCCTGTGGTTTCCCATGTGCAACCGTTTCAAATTGAATTTTGAGTTAGCCAAACTGGCGGGAATGTGTCCCTCCTCCCCTGCCATATTGTGATTTCGCAAAGGATGGTCTGAACCTACAATTTACGAAAACAAAACCTCTAATCTCCGTGAACTGCGATCAATCAGTCGTCCCCAACATTTTTGTTGACATCTCTGCTTGTGCGCACATGAACATGTGGCGCAACGAGTGTCGGTTGCTTTCGTCATTTAATAAGCAATATATATTCATGTTGATTTTTCGGCAAACTAGTATGAGCCAAACAACGTCACCTTGAGAATTCCATTCAAGGAAAATCAAAACAATAAAAGAGAGAAGAAGATATGGTTCCAACCTAAAGGTTTTATTTAAACATCAAATTAATACTTTGCGGAAGAAATAAGATTAATTTGTTTGCCTCGGGCTTGGGGCGATATCGTGACCAAGTTCGGTATCAGAGCAAGCACTGATTTTGCAGGACACGGCCTCAATTTGCGGGACACATGGATTGAGCTTGAAAAGCTGTACGTGCACGCGCTACGCGGGATAGTTGGTCAACGTAATAGTGAGGGTTTCAAAATTAGTGTTTAAAAATAGAGTCCGAGTGTCAAAGTGTTTTTTTCTCCCAGGGTTAGGGTTCCAAAGTAGGGTTTTAAACTTGGTTCAGGTTATAAATTAGTGTTTTAAATGACAGGGTTTCAAAGTAGGATTTTAAACTTTGGTTTGAGTTTCAAAGTAGGGTTCTAAACACTCAGTAGTGTTTTTAAACCTGGGTTAGTGTTTTTTAAACCTGGGTTAGTGTTTCAAAGTAGAGGCGTGACCAGCGGGTAGTTGGCACCAGGCATCCATCTGAGGGAAGTGCATCCACAGCAGAACAGCTTAATTTAAGTCTGGCTAAAATTTCATGAATATGAGGAGGATGCAAATAGACATTGAATATAATTTATTTGAAAGCAATCTTCAAGCAAGCACCATTTTTCATCTCTCTCTCTCTCTCTCTCTCTCTCTCTCTCTATATATATATATATATAGATATCTATATAGATATCTATATATCTATATATATACTGTATATGTGTGTGTGTGTGTGTTTGTGTGTGTATACATATACAGTGTATAAAAGGATTGACTGCAATATTTTATTAATCTTACATCACATTTCAACTTTTCATCAAATGCTTTCTAATTCAATAATTGGTATCTTTTTTATTGTATGAAAGCTGAGAGGTCGACGCGTTGGGCATCTCCAAAGTAGAGGAAGACGGCGAGGCCGAAGCAGTGGACGAAGGCAATGAGGTAGAACACTGACGCCCACGACTGGGTCACCTCAATCATGTAACCCGACAGCGACACCATCAGCACACCTGGGCGACACACATAACTCAATTACACTTCGAATTTCTATTTTGGAAATGACATTTAGCACAATTATAGATAGATTCATTCACTCCGTGCCTCAAAACCCTGACACAATATCTCAAATCGTCTTCATCCACTGAAATGAATTGCCTGGGAAGTTTCCATTCCAATCCTCTCCTTGTGAGATGAACCAGAAGTACTTGGAGGATAGGATTGTTCGAATTGTATAAACACTTAGGAAAGGCGCCTGGATGCACACTTTAAGCCAGGGGTCCCCAACCGCCGGTCCGCGGACCGGTACCGGTCCGCAGGGCATTTGGTACCGGGCCGCACAGAAAGAACTTG